CATCCAAAATTATCAGCTGGAAGAGGCAATAACTGGTTGTAACTTGTGTGCGTTCTAATATTTGTATTTCCACTGTGTTTATTTCTTTCCTCTCTCCATGCCTTGTGACCAGTGTTGTTTTAGGGAACCAACCCTGCTGTAAATCAATAAAATGTTGATCACAAAAGAAGGTGTGAATTTATTGATTTAGTGATGAGTCGTGTTTGCTGTGGTGATGAGTTACTGAATTAAAACTTATTTAAAAATGTCCAAACACTACAACATGTATTAACTGTAGTTATGATGTGAAGAGACGCCACATCATGTAAATCTAAAGAGCTTCTTTTTCTCTGGATAAATAAACCTGACATTAAAATAAGTTTGTGGTTCATAAACACTGTAAAGCACAGACTGCATCAAAGCGCCCTTTATTCCATCCATGCAGCACATCGTTGATCACACAAATGAAACATCACATTATTTTGGGGCATCTCACTCAAGGACGCTTTGCTAACCTGAGGAGCTGCATCAACCTGACCTAAGTAGTGGAGACTCTCCTACTCCTCCTCTCTTCCTCCTCCTCTTCCTCCTCAAAAACCTTCACAGACCTGTTTTCAGTCTGACTCCATGTGCCTGCAGTTTTTCCAAGAAGCTTTAATAAAACTGTGCAGAGTTATATCTGAGTTAAATATAGTTAAATATCTGAGTTAAAGCTGCTTTAACTTATTAGCTGACTTTTTAAAGACTTTATCAAAGAAAGTATGTGTGCTTCTCCTGCTCTGAGATTGAGCCTGGTGCCACGTAAAGCTTCTATATGCTGCACTTTGTTGTGGTTAAAGTACTCGACCATTTTAAATTCATCACTGTGGATCAACCCACAATAGACCAGAAGGAAGAGAGCCGACTCTGTGTACCTCTGTTTAGGTTGGATTTTCACTCCCATGCTGGCCTGTAGTGGAGCTGAAATGATCTTCAGGAACTACAAACCACAAAGCCTCGTGGCTGCTGCATCGGCCCAAACCTCTGCTCTCAGAGTCACAGACACAGTTTCTTCACCTGTAAAAGGGCCATGATGGAGAGGACGAGGTCTAAAGAGGTCACAGCTCCAGTAACGCTCTCCTATTTAAAATACCTGAAATGCATCAGCTGTCAGTTTTCACTTTCACATGAACACGTGTGACAAATAATTAGTCGTGCAAAAAGAAAAAACTTGTAAAGCTGCATTCTTAGCTCACTCTCGTTGAAATCTACAGCTTCCCGGGTCACTGAAAGGCAGCGTTGTGAATGTCTGTGCTTCCTGTACAACCACAGACGTGTGAGGCCGTTAATCCTGTCAGTGCTGGAAAGTCTGGTTTTCTGGATGACGGCCAGTTTGTTGTGAAATCTGATTTCCTGACAGGAAGTCTGTCGTTCAACGTGAAAGTGCCAGTGGAGTTAAAAAATCTTTGTTCTGTTTAATAGCTTTATACTCTGGGTTGTAACATCGTTCCTCTATTTGACTTTTAGATGAAACTGAATCAAATATTTAAATGCTTGCAGTTCATTCAGTTTCCAGTAAAAAGAGAGGTTTGAGAACTTGGTGGTAAAATCCCAGCTTCTGTGATACTGAGAACAAATAAATAATAAATCTGTTTTAAATGGGTGTGTGGGATTTTTCTGCTGATCTGTTGGATGTTCTCTGAGGGGGGAGTCTCGTCATCTGGGTCAGTTTCAGGATGCACTAATGGTGACTTTATTTCATATAGTTTCATGCAGTTTTATTCTGAATCATTGACGAGCAGTGGCAGGAAATTCCACAGTTTTAATCCATCCATCCATCTTCCTCTGCTTATCCAGGGCCCTTTGTATTGAATTGTTTTTAGCTAGTTAGTCGTTCCTGTGTCTGGTTTCTAGCTTTATTTCCTCACCTGTAGGTTGGCCTGTGTTCCTCTACACCTTGTTTCCCCTGAGCTGTGTTCACGTCCACTGCTGGTCCTGTGTTTCCTTTGTCTTTGCTTCTGTCTGCGTTCAGCCTCAATAAACGTTTTTTGTTCCCTAACCTGTGAGCATTTAGCTCCAACCTGCCCGCTCATGGCAGTCTTTGTGTTATCAGGGGATCATTTTGGCGGATTCTTCAGTAGTAGGTCTGATAAAGTCAGAATAACAAAACTTAAAGGTGAACTCACTGCTTTGTTTCATTGACTCTGATTTATGGTCCCAAACACTATTTCAGCTTTTTTTATAACTGTAAATGATGTCATGATGTCCACAGACTGAACCTTAAGGGTCCACACTCTGAGAATAATCAACATAAAGGATTTATCCTCTGCTGACTCACAGTTTACCCCTCACTATAAGCACACACAGCTCTCTGCAGTCATTATCAAAGCACAAATCAAACCAGTTCCTCCAACATGAATGCTACTCCAGTGTTTGATGGACAGCAGATAATTGTATCACTTAATCTTGTTTACACTCAGTACACTTTCTCTGGAATACGTTTGACTTACAGCTTTGTGATTGTGATAACCAACCAATCCAAACACAGATTTGAAGCTTAGAGAACCGGTTCCTCCACGCTCTCCTCACTAGCTTTGATTGGCTGTAGAGATGAACTTAAACAAACTGAAAGCCAGATGTTATTCTTCAATCACTGGTCTTAGTTTCAAGTTTTATTTGACACAACATGTTTATTTTGGAAATGATGGTCCTGTTAAAACCAGGGCAGGGTTCATGTGTGACTGACAGGTTGCTACATGTTAGCGTCTCTCACTGCTCATAACTACAGTAAACAGCCCTTCAGTTCACTTATTCTATCATGTCATATTTATTCAAATATGTATAAAAGAGCAACTACAGATCCACACTGTCAGAGGTTTACTTGCAAGAAATAGAAATGTTTACGTTCAGACTTGTGTCACAGCTGCTCGTCCAGATTTCAGTGCACTGAGATGTGGTGACTGTGGAGGCCATCGGAGTGTTTTTCAGTCTTCGTTGTCTAATTTTGGTGAGCAGATGTAAATGTGGCCTCTGTTGTTAGCAGACAGCTGTTGCCCTCAGTGTGGTCTTCTTCTGCTGTGGCCCATCTGCTTCAACGTCAGATGTGTTGTGCCTTCAGAGATGCTCTTCTGCATGGTTCATTAAGAAGTGTGGTCGACTGAGTTGCTGTTGTCTTTCTATCAGCTCAAAGTAATCTGGTTATTCTCCTCTGACATCAACAAAGTATTTCCACCCTGCTGCTCACTGGATAGCTTCTCATTTCAGACCATTCCTTGTAAATCCTGAAGATCTCAGCACATCAACAGTGTCTGAAATACTCACACCAGCCCGTCTGACATCAACAACCACACCACAATCAGTCATCTTTCTTCCTTATTCTGATGCTCGTTTGGACTCCAGCAGGCTGTGGTGATCATGTCTAAATGTCTGAATGTTTTGAGTTGCTGCTGAGGTGAAAGGTCACTTAGAGATTTGGATTACTGTGATGACCAGTGGAACAGGTGTACCTAATAAAATGGTTGCTGAATGCATGTAAGTCTGCCTTTACTGGACTGTACAGTTGTTGCTGATGTTCTCAGATCATTTTCTTTGTCTGTTTTCTGATGCACATAGTTTCATGAGCATCATTTTCCTTTCCTCCATGTTATAAAAAAATCCTTCACATCTCATCTCATGAAGCGCCTTGAAGCGACTTATGCTGTGATTTGGCGCAATATAAAAAAAATTGAATTGAATTGAATTTTTGTGTCTGAAAGTTTTTCCTCTACATGAGGCCGACATGTGTGCAGAAATCTTTCCAGAGGCAGTGAGGTTTCATGAAACAAAAACTAAAAACTTTGATGATTCAGTCTTTAAAGTCTGATGAAATGTTTTATTCATTCATCACACAGTTGGAGTGATTGACTGGTTTTTATTGGTGGAGTGTGTTTTGCTCTGTGCAAGATTCTTCCTTTTCAACATTCATCATTTAATCTACTTTTCTTCACATTACCCTTGTTTCCGTCATTATAAGATCACATGGATCTGTGCTCTCCAGTGATTGCTTTTGTTTATTTTTTATTGTACGCAGGTAAGGAAGAAGAGTCAGCGTCACATTTTCATATTGTGGCGTGTTGGGGGAGCAGCTAGTTCTCTCCCATCATGCCTTGGGACATGTGCTGCCGTTTATATGTTCTTGTTTTATTGTTTATGGTTACATTACTTTTAACTGTTATCTTGAATGTTGTGTTTACACTATGGTTCAGAGTCACTGACAGTTGTTGTTTTGTAGAGAGAGTGCTGTACCATGAGTGAGTTCTGTTGTGCTGTTGTTGACCCCACATTGTAGCACCAGCAAGTATTTTAATAAAGAGTTCTTCCTACCAGGTTGGGGTTGAACAGCAAGCTCAATCTCTCTGTGAGCTTCTTTGTTACGATTTCTCTGCATGTCGCAATATGTAAGAGAACAATCACAGGGTGCCACATATGACACACACTTTTACAATGAATAATAACAATATCAAAAGCAAGCTAACATAAAACAGCCATTTGTAAAGTACAATAAATTTACAGTGTAATATATAAAACATTTTCTACTTAAATTTACAATATAATTTGTTTCCTTCGTTGTAAATACCCACAAGCATATGTTCTTCAATAAAAACTTGAATTAACACCCCATTAATCTAGTGTATGAATTACTAAGTAGGTAAATTTAATCACATCATAATTTCAAAATACTAGGTTTTTTTAGTAGAATTACTAATGGCTATCCTTTATTTTATGCGGATTTCATTTTCAAATGTAAGAAGAAACAAAAACAGCCAACAGAGACAATATGATAACACTTTCATTATTAATTAATGATAATAAAAATAATTGTAGTGTCAAAAGCTGCCGCTGGCTTTGACCTCAGATTCTGGAGGTGGGGTATCCTCTCCCTTTACATCAACCTGTACCTAACTGGTTGTTGTTGTTAAAGGGGTTATTTCTGTTCATTAATCTTCCTCCTGAAACTGTTTCTGTACAACTGTCACTGATATTATAAAGGTGAAATCTAAAAGTCCATGACGTGATGACGTAATACACCGGAAATTATGGCAGATATGGCGGACTGCTTTAAGACACTAGAAACTGAAACTGTTTTTTTACTGCGTCAGTGCTGAGAGGAGAGGGGTGGCTCGGATCTTGGTTACACAGAATAGTTGCCGTATTTGATCCTCAGAGGGTTTCTGCAGACATGGAGCTTCTAGCACTTCTGTTTCTGAGCTTCTGTTTCCTGACTTTGTCCGGACGGACGTTTGCTGCTGAATCCGGTAAGAAACTCATTGATTCAGACTGATCATGTGTGCAGGCGCTGTCATGTTTCACAGGAGCGGATGGAGCTGCTCAGGCTGCTGCGTTAGTGGGTGGATGACTGCGGCATGTACACCTGTGACATCAGCTGTTTTCTTTTAATAATAACAACAGTGAAGATTAACGTGCATCATCTTCAACAATGAAGTGAAAGCATTCTCTTTATTATTTACAATCAGTGGTTAGAGATACTCATTATTCCATCCTGACGTGCTTTTAACCTCAGGTATGGCGTCTTTGTTGGCGATTTGTGCTTCCTGCAAAAACACATCTGCTTTATTTCCTGTTGGAGCAGAAAATAACATTTTTTCTTATAGTCGCCAACCACAATGAAATGAAAAATCAAGACACACACAAGCTGACAAAGTGAACTAGCGAATTATTATTTATATATTTATACAGAATCAACTAAATGGTAAATGGCCTGTATTTGTATAGCGCTTTATTAGTCCCTATGGACCTCAAAGCGCTTTAAACAACCAGTCATCCACCCATTCACACACACATTCACACACTGGTGATGGCAGCTACATTGTAGCAGCCACCCTGGGGCGCACTGACGGAGGCGTCCTACTAAAGTAGGACAGAAGTCTCCCATAAAAACAATATTGGGCCAAGTTTATTTATCATAGCACTTCTTGAAGCAGCAGTTCTAAACCGATTAACAGGTGTAAAAAAAAATAATAATAATTAAAAAAAAGGAATAATTCTGAAAATATAACTTTATTTGAAATTATGAATAAATTTTTGAAAGCAAATGTCTAATATAAAGAAAAAGAATAAAAAGCAACCGTGTGGATGTCATTGCATCTCTCTCTTCATTAGGATGTGCTTATCTATTTTCCAAAATTACGCAGCAAGCAACTGTTACAGTCTTTTAAATATTTTTGGTTCAATATTATATAATATTGATCATATCGTTAGCTTCATAGCATAAGTGCCTAAGTCATTTTTTTGTGTTTTGTGTTTCAGACGGACAGGATGATGCAGCAGTGGTAGGGGAGTAAAGTTAGGCAAAAATCTCAATTTGACCAAAAAATGACTTAGGCACTATGAAGCTAACGATATTCAACATCATATGATGCATTCATTTATTAACTTTTTTCACTCTTTGGGTTCCTTGTTTGTGTTATTAAAGTTCTACTTGTTGCCATTTTTAGAGTGAGTGACACAGTCTGTCAGGGTTCCTGGGTTGTTGACCCAGTGATTTCAGTTTGTTCATGTTCAGTTTAGTTCGCCACATTAATGTTCTCACTTCCTGTTTTTTCCCGTGTCAGCTTGTCTCCCGTGTCATTAGTCAGATTATGTTCAGCCCTGTACTCACCTGTTTCCAATCATTGTCATCATTCAACCTGTGTATTTAAGTTCCTCGGTTTCACCAGTTCTCTGTCGTGTCATTGATGTTGATGTTCATGTCGTCCCTCCGTCTATATGTTCAGTCAGTCAGCCAGCCATTCTTCCAGTCTTTCAGCCAGCCAGCCAGTCACTCCATCGTTCCTGCTTTGTTCATTCACCCTCCAATAAATCCTCTTCATTTCTGCACCGTGAGTCCAGCGTTTGGGTCATATCTTCCACGCCTCCACACACAACCTCTGACACAGTCAGTGAAGAGGCCCCTGATGGGTGAAGAACGTTTGTATCCTGTTTCAGTTTCCTGAGTGTTTCTACAATCAGAGTTAAAACTGTGTTCTGTAAATGCACATCTGAGTGTCCTTTCCTCCAGCCATTATTTTGTCTGTCATTATTATGTCAGTCTTTTGTGATTACACTTGACTGGGTACGATTGTGTGATAAATGTTAAGAGTTAACATGCAGTACGTACAGATACCTCACAGAGGTCACCTTTGCTGTGGGTCTTAAATCCAATACATGAACATTAACAGAGTAAATGCCAGGAGCTCACGTGAGGAGTGTTTCTTCATGAATCCAGGTATCAAAAACAGGTGCTTGGATCCAAGGATAATCCAGGACAATACAGTGGTCACATCTGAATTGAACTTTGTGATTATGGCCAAAAACAGAAAGTCAGAGCAAAGAAAACCAAACAGCAGCTCACAAATATGTCAGGGCTGCTGTCAGCGGACAAACTATTATAGAACTGTGACAGTTCTCCTGTATAAAACAGGAGCAGCTCAGAGTGCTCTTTAATGGACCTCAGCCTCTGACTTCTGGAAACAGAAATGTAAAGTTGAGCTATTATACTCATTTCCAGCTCCATATTTTATTCTTGGACATGACTGGAACAGTTTAGCATGATTCACAGTTCACAGTGATCCTTGTTTATCTCAGTCTGGGCCTTAGTGCAGCCTCTGAGCTCACCCTCTCTGAAACAAGCTCTTCAGCTCCTTCAGCCTCCATTTAAACCAGTCATACAAACTGTGGGGCTACAGGTCGGACTGTGATGACAACAGGAAAAATATGAAGAGGAAGTAAACTGGGGCATTGTTTTTTAGAGGAGGAAAAAACAAAGAAGCACTGCAGAAGCTAATGAACCTTTTTCGCTCTAAAATTTTACTTTAATCCTTTGGTAATGCTCATGATTGCTAAAAATCAAACATGAACATTTTTAGCTTCTGAAATGAAACAAGACAAAAAGTTTGAAATTCTCTGTTTTAAGCCAAATTCCTTCTGATTGGCTGCTGACTTTCTTTTAAACATCATCGCTCTGTGTGTACACACACTGCAGAGTGTCTTTAGGTCAGAAGGTAGAGCAGGGATCTCTTAATTACAGAGTTGGTGGTTCAATTCCTGGTTGCTTCAGTCATGAAATGTTCTCGGGCAAGATGTAAACCCAAAGTTTCTTTTTCTATAAAGCACTTGGAGAGTTTATACAGAACAGAAAAGTCCTATATAAGAACCAGTGTGTTTAATTCATACTTTGTCTTTCAGGGACACCTGTCACCACAGTAACTGTGAAAGAAGATGATGATGTCATTTTACCCTGTTCCCTCAGCACCAATGTGAATATTGAGAAAGTGCTGTTTGACTGGAAAAAGGAAGGAACAGTTCCACAAAAGGAGGTGTTCATGTATGTTGAGGGCAATCATTACAATAATGGTCTCCCAGGTCAAGACGAGCAGTTCAGAGATCGAGTCTCACATTTTCCTGAAGAGCTGAAGTACGGAAACGCCTCCATAAGGATAAAACAAACAAAGCTGGAGGACAAAGGAATCTACACCTGTGACTTTCCACGTCTGCTGCCAGAACCCAAAATATTCCGCATTGAGCTTGTTGTTGGTGAGTGCTGTTATAAATCAGCTGATTAATTACAGATGAAACAGCATGCACATCTGGCAGGGCCTCACTCCCACAGCACACCTGCAGTGATATTTGCAGTATGAACAAAACTGAGACCTTCCCATGTGCATGCTGGCCCTGCACCTGTCTACTTATCAAAAATCAGAGGTGTCCACAGAGTCTTCAGTAAACTAAATAAAATCTGTGTCAATAAAGCTATAAACACTTAATAAAGAAATGTCCGCTTCTCCTGAAATATCAGACACACAGCTGTTCAAAGTGTTTTCTGACTGTGTGATTATAACACATTCATGACCATAAAATCAGCCTCCTGTTTAAATGTATCACAACATTTAAGAAATAAATATATTTTAAAAAGGTGGATATAGCAGATTAATACTTCTGAGTTCCTTTTCTCCAGTTTTATTTGATTGCCAAGTTGATGATAACACAGTCACCTCTAACATGTGTGTTTGTTTCCTTTCAGAGGGCAGATTAATCTGTTAGAGCCTCTCACAGGCATGTGCACTTCTGTATGTCTGTAACTACCAGGCTCAACTTTGTAATAATTTTAAAACCATAAATATCTGATACCTGCCTGTTTGATCACTGTAAACTAAAATCTGTAGTATTTAATGTGGTCTGTTAGTTTTACCTTTAGCTCTAACACAGATCATCTGTTTGAGGATTATACAGGAAATGACTGAAGCTGTGATGATTTTAAGCTTTTAATTCATATGTTAAATGCAGTTAATCAGTCATTATGAAGGCTACAAGGCTGAAATTTACAGGATATCATCTTCATTCTATCTCCAATAAATGTGGCAAGTTTCTTGCTAATAAAATGAAATGTCCCTGAGCTATTTTAAAGATAATTTAAAGCGCAAAGTAGAGCATCTCTAACAAATTACTTCAAAAATCCTCAAAAGTTAACTAATATTAAGGATTCATTCTGGTTTTTTACACATCAAATGCACCCTAAGTCTAAACTCAACAACAAAATGATGCCCTAAATAACCAAAATAAATATTTGTATATTTATTATAATTTAATCTGGTCTTTTTCGACTGATAAAATAGTTTTATTTGATTTATTTTCGTTTAATTGTGACAGCGAGGCTAAATACATAAACTTCCATATATGGTCAGGCAGGTGATTTTCCCGGCTTCAAACTGAGACTGGTTTTACTGCTGTGACTTTCTATTGGATAATGATAGCTGTCATTTAAATACTTAGGCTCGTGAGGTAAATATACTATTCTTTGATTGGCTGATTCGATTAAAGGTCCCCTAAACGCGCCACTTCCCGTCGGAGAAAGATGCTGATAGGTTAATATTGTCCGTGGGCGTTTGACGATTTAAGAGATACCGAACATGATTGGTTTAATTATTTATCAAAACTTTAAAACGGTTTTTAATGTTGCAGTCATAGCAGTTTGCGCTAGGTCATATACAACTAAAAAAGGGAAAAATCTTTTTTTGTTGTTGTTTTTTTTACTAAAACTGATATTTAAATGAACGGAATTTAATCGGCTGAGTTTTTTTCTTTAAAACGAGCTCCTCTTTGTCTTAAAAAGTCTTTTTCTATTCCAGTAAACAGATTTTTAACGGCAATGCTGCAGACTAGCATGAAAGTTTATAATTGTTTACTGTCGTAAATTAAGATGCTACGATTTTTATGTGGTAAATCCTTCACTGAGGTTCATGGATCTGCTGACAAATGAACATCTGAGCTTTCAAACGAAATGTAGAATGTCTTTACCGATGTTTGCGGTCATCATGAAAATATCTAGTATATTTATTTATTAGTTTCTACATATAAACGTGGGTCGCATAAAACCTCTGCGTTTTAAAAGGTTAAAGCTCCGAAACGTCTCAGGTGAGTCCTGTTTTTAATGATGTCACTGATCTTTACGTCCTAGTGTGTACGTAAACGTATCACTAATAACGAACGACATAAAGCAAGTACTTTAACATGTTGGTGGTGGGACCCGTAAAAAGTGGCTAAGATTACCTTTATAAACAGCTCATAGTTAAAACAAATTAACAATATTCTTGATTTTTTATTTTAATTTTAATGCTACATTATCCCTGTCTTAGTTATCAAGGAATAATCGGTTTGTAAGTTTGTAGTGAAACAACTGTAATCTCCATATTTCGACCTTCCTTAGAAATGATCAGTAACTTTTTTTTTCTTAAAGTAACCCTAGTGCTCCATCTTACATAGTCAATCCATGAGTCAATGAGAAATATAGTTTTATTTTGTTTTTGTTTTTCTGCTATTTAAAGGTATATACTATAACCTACCAGTCTATTACATTTAAGATATTTATTCCTGCATTTTACAATGTATAATAGTAAAGTGTTTCTGCTGTGTTATAGATTTTTTTTTCTATTTTCAACACATTTTTATATTACCTTCTTAGAGAACACTACAGAGCTCATGATATTTTTTCTAAGACACTTTTGATAGGTCTGTTTTATTATTTTATTTATTTATGGTCCCATCAGGTCATGAAATTAGTTAAATACATCCTGAAATGAACAATGTGATAACATATTACACTGTGTCTTAACTATATATAACAAAAACAAATTGAAAATGCAGAAGCTGTGTGTGAACAACTAAGTACAGCTTTTAGAACCACCTTTAGCAATAATAACATGAATTAGTTCATTGGAGTTTGCAGGCATTTGTTTATGCACTCTTAAGGTCGCATCACAGCATTTAAGTCAGGTTGAGCTCAGGATTTTGGACCATTGCAGCTTCTTTTTGAGCCATTTTTTGGCTGTCCTGTTGGTGACTCAGTTAAGTCTAAGTCTGGTCTCTTATCTGTGGGAGAGATGTAGACTCCCTGTAGAGTCTGAGATGGAACACTTGGGTTTTCTGCAGTTACTCTGAGCATAACATGGTCTGATCTTGGGGTGACTTTTTGGGGGGACATACACTGCTGGGAAGATTGGCAGCTTCTGTATTTTCTGTCTCTGAGTAATCTCTGTCACTGTAGAATTGTGGACTTTAAATTGTTTGGAAATTACCACAAAACCCTTCCCAGACTGACCAGCAGATACAGTTGGTTACCCAAGATCATTGCTAGTGATGATTTCTTTTCTCCTTGGCATTGTGTTAACACTCATCTGAATGCTCCTAAGGGGGTACAGTACTATCAGCAAAGTTAAACACAGCCAGACTTTCTTTGCTTTAACTGACTTGAAAAACATCTTGATGTATTCTCAATCATCCAGGTAAATAAATCCTAAAAGGTTGATTCTGTTCATCTGGACGTTTTCAGTGGGAGAAACGTTTCGTCACTCATCCAAGTGACTTCTTCAGTCTCAGCTGACTGCAGGTTTCCTTAACATTATCAGACTAAAGAAGCCACTTGAATGAGTAATGAAACATCTCTCCCACTGAAAACGCTACGTCCGGAACACAATCAATCTTTTGTGACTTGAAAAACTTAAAACCCCAGTCAGAGATGATGGGTATAAAAATGGCCACTATCAACTTTGTTAAGCTGGGTTTTCTGCTTCTGGGTCTGTGCACACGGACATAAAAATGGGTCCTTTTTCCACACAAAATAATCCATATGAGTGCTACCTACTCTAGTCAAAGACATCATCAGATGATGGTAATAAAAAGAACATAACATACAACAACATATAACAGTAAAATGCAGCACTGAAAATGAGAGAAAAGATGCTGCAGCATTCTCATTCGCTAATTCTCATTCATTCTTATTCAGTGGTTTTAATAAAATATAACTTAATAACATATAAAACATATTCTCCAAGCAGAGAATTTATAATGCATTCAAAACATGCTGAAAATTAACAAAATATTTGTTTAAATTTGGTAGTTCTGAACTATTTTAAACAAACATGTTTGTTTGGGACATGTTCAGTATAATTTAGCAAGGCAACTGAGCCAGGTAAAACAAGAGCCACTTTGATGACATATACTATGCTCTCAATACAGTTGCTCAGTAACTCATTAATCTGTCTTCGTAGTAGACCCAATAGCTTTTATAGAGGTAGTCAAAGTATGATCAAGAGCTTGTGAGCACCTGGCTTCTACTAACTTTCAATTCCAATTGAAGCTTTAAGGCTGGACTTAATTTTGTATTTTGGATTAGTTTTTATCATAATATTGATAGAGAATAATGTGGTTTTATTCATTTGAGGTTGAGTTTAAATACTTTTAACCTGATAGCATTTTTGTTTATTATGTTTATTATTTCCTTGTATATATACCATCAGAATTGATAGAGGGTGAGCTTTAATTTTACCATAATTATATGTCTTAAATCTTTATTTAACCAAGAAAAAAAATATCCTTTGAGATTACAAAATCTTTTTTACGATCTCTTAAGCCTCTCCCCTAAGACAGCTGGGATAGGCTCCAGCCCCCTGTGACCATGAAAAGGATAAGCAGTAAAGAATGGATGGATGAACAAACACTTTTATAAACATATGTGTATTTGTTCATGTTTATTTTTGTTGTTGGTGGTGGTGATTATGTAGACTGTAATGCAGCATCGTCTTTCTTTACAAAACTTTGTCCAAGCTCATCTTCTTAAAAGTTATAAATGTCATTTGCAGTTAAAAAAAAAAAAAGCTTTACAGTCATGAGAAGTATAATTTAGACAGTACTCTTCTTTGATTTGTTATAACCTGTTTATGCACATAGAAAGATTTGTGTTACATACGATATCACTAAATTGTCATGTTTGTTTCCTGTGGTGTGTTCACAGGTGCAGCTCCAAAGCCATATGTCAAAATGCTTAAGGACAAAGGCTTGCTGGAGTGTGAAGTTCCAGGTGCTTCTCCTAAACCTACAGTTGAGTGGTGGGACAGAGATAACAAAACACTTCCTTCTAAAACACTGCAGGACACAAGGGATGACAATCGCTTCTACATCACCATCCAAACTACTGTGACCAAGCCTGGCTGCTATTACTGTGTAGCCACACAAATGGAAATCTGGCACCAGATTTCTTCAGAGACCTGCGTTCCTGAAGGTGAGTACGTTTATTATCCAAATAACTTTAAAGAATAAAATGTGACTGTATGCCTAGAATGGGGAAAAAACATGCATTCACCCAAAATGTGGAGCAGGACTGAAAAAAATTTAATATAGAAATGAAGTAAATGTTTGCACACTATAGAACTCATTATTTATCATATCTAGAAGTGTGTGGCATTTCGAGCACATCTGCTTTTCTGACAAACAAGAGCTGCAGCTTCATGCTTATTTTGTTTACTGGTAATAATGTGACAGTGTATCTTCAGCAATTTTGCAGAGTAACACAAAAGCAATGTAACAGTCTAATAAATTTCTTAGAAAAAAGAAGGAAAACTGTGCTTTTTTCTGAGTAACAATCCCTAACACTGCAAACATAATTCTTTCTTTTTAAAATTGGGAATGATGGTCACTGATCTTTTTTGTGGTATTTGCAACAACAAAGTACTGTTTGACCACTATGATCACTATAAATACAAACAAGTTGAACTGGCTTGTAATTTCTAACACACCCACAGTGGTTAGTTTTTGTGTCTTCAGACTTGTTTTAAGATGATTTAAGATGATGTTGCACTGATTTGTGCATTCACATTATTAACAGCATTTCAGTTAGAAACTACAAGTAGTGATTGGCCATGAAGATAATAATGATCTTTTAGTGTTTAAAAAAAGAATTAATTAGAAGTACGTTACCTAATCAGGTACTTGTAATTCATATACCTAACCTATCCATTTGTGGCACTTATGTTATACTCATAGGTGTGATTCTGATTAATGAGAGTTTAGGCTAAATAACAGAAACCCATCACTGTAAACTGGCAACTAAATGTCTTTCAAACAGCAGGGATTTAACATTAGCTGCTGCAGTGTGACTCAAAAGTCAAAGTCAAAATAAACTTTGTCATCTCTGCTATATACAGTGTAGTATATGAAGAGACAGAATGATGAGGCTCCAGTTCCATTTAGTGCAAAAGACAACAATAAATATAAGAAGAGTAAGAAATAAATATATACTTTAAGACCAAGGTAAAGGTAAAAGGTATAAATATACACTTAAAAATTTAAGTAAAATCAATAACAATCTAAATTTACAATTTAGTTGAATGATTTAAAGTGACCTTGAAGTGGTTTAAAGTGACCAGGAAATGTAGCAGTTTGTAAACATGAGCAGGATTCTTGAGAGTAGGATTGTCCATAGAGCACCATCTGCATTACAAAGGCAGTGGTGTGTGGAGTGCAATATAGTCAGTTAACAGTTTGTGTGGGTGTGTGTGGTGAGTGGGGGCGCTAGTAGTGAGTTCAGGAGTCTGATGGCTTGTGGGGAAAAAGCTGTCTCACAGTCTGGAGGATCAGGCCCCGATGCTGCGATAGCGTCTGCTGGATGGGAGGAGGGGAAAAAGTCGATGTGAGGGGTGTGAGGGGTGAAGCAAGAATGCAGGAGGCCTTACTGATGCAGCATTTGTGAAAGATGTCCTGTAGCAGAGGGAGAGATGCTCCAATGATCTTGGCAGCTGCTTTAACAATCTGTTGTAGCTGGCTGAGGTCGCAAACGTTGCAGTTTCCAAACCACACAGGGATGCAGCTGGTCAGAACGCTCCCTATGGTGCCCCTGTAGAACACAGTGAGGATAGGAGGAGGAAGGTTGACCCCCTTCAGGGGTCTCAGGAAGTGGAGTTGCTGCTGGGCCTTTTTGGTGATGGAGGTGGTGTTGGTGATCCACGTGAGGTCGAGTGAGATGTGAACTTCCAGGAACTTGATGCTGTTAACAGTCTCTACCATGGAACCGTGGATGCTGAGTGGTGTGTGGGTGGAGCGAGTCTTCCTGAAGTCAACAATCATCTCCTTGGTTTTGTCCACATTCAGTGACAGGTTGTTCTCACTGCACCAGAACGCCAGCTGCTGAACCTAATCTCTGTACGCTTACTCGTCGTTGCTGCCGATGAGTCCAACCACGGTTGTGTCGTTAGCAGAGTTGATGATGTGGTTAGAGCTGTGTAGAGCGGTGCAGTTGTGTGTCAGGAGAGTGAACAATAGTGGGCTGAGGACACAGCCCTGAGGAGCTCCTGTGATGTGCGCTGATGGTGCTGGAGATGTTGTCACCAGTTACAGAGAGAAGTGCTCAGTCGCAATTTGCAAAAATGTGTCAAACAGTTTTTGGGGGATAATGGTGTTGAATGCTGAGCTAAAGTCTATGAACAGCATTCTGACATAGGTGTCTTTCTTGTCCAGGTGGGAAAGGGAGAGGTGAAGTGTGTGACAAAGCTGTGACGATCATCTGGAAAATGTCTGTGAAGACATATGCCAGCTGATCAGCGCAGTCTTTCATGACGCGACCTGGGATGTTGTCTGGTCCAGCAGCTTTCCGTGGGTTGACCTTGGTGAGAGTTCTCCTCACATCGGCTGCAGGCAGAGAGGTTATGTTACGGCCTGTCTAGGGGACCTGACCGCAACAATAGGAATGATCCACCCCCAGTTCGACCCCAAGCAGCACATCACACCATCAGTTAAAATAAGGAATGGTTTATTTACAGACACAAAACAGAAAATTGGTTTCACAGGAGTCACTCAGGCTTCAGTGTGGACCCACACTAAAATAACAAACAAAAGGGAACTAACTCAGAGGAGCGACTGCTTACCTAGCTCCAAGAAACATAACCAAACAACAATCACTTGCCTCCCTGACTAACAAAACATGAGAAAATCTTATACTCCGCCTCCAGAGCAGCATCCAATCTGGGCACACCATCATCGGGATCCACAACTCTTTATACCTCTTTGCCACTTGAAGTGCAGATGGGAATGTGAGATGGTCAAGCAGGATCTGATACTTATAGTCTTCGCTTAAATGCTTGTGCGGACCAAGTAAGCTGTCCAGACCCTTTTTGAGCATAAGAAAATCACTCTCTTTCCCTGAGCTGAATACAGTCAGTTTGGGTTTAGGAATGCCAAATGATGACGCAATCACCATCTCCATCATACTGGGCCAATGTGAGCTGTCTACTGGGCAGGCTGTAACGATGTGGTAGAGGGCACTGGCTGAGGCACATGTGGTTTTGGCTGCGGTGTGATAGGGGACACTGGGTGAGGCATCATTAGAGAAGCAGGAGGTGGTGAGAAGGGCAATGCAGGCTGTGTTAGAGCAGGGGTTACAGGCTGCGTTGGCAACAGCGGCGAGCAGGCTGTAGGAGCCGTGGATGCGGGGGCCGGTACAGACATGGCTTCTGAAGCAGGTTGTGGGTTTGATGCAGCAGTGTCAACCTGCACTTGAGGAGCAGGGGCTTGTGTTGGAGCATGCAGAACCTGGTGCTGAATGTTAGGTGCAGCTCTTGGACTGGGAGGCCAAACAGGGTAACCCAGTTCTAAATGGGGAAGGCTACTGTAATGTGGCTGAAATGCTACATAGTGGTATGAAGGGTAAGGCAGATGTGCACTCTGTGGATACGAAGGCAATCTGACCCTGTCCATTTCCACTTCAAGTTCTTTCATCTGCTGGCTTATCGTTTGCCAATATGCTTCCAGCCGCTGCCATCTTTCCTCTGGACTTGCCGTACCATAATGACCAGCTGCAGGATAGTTAGGGGAACTCCCAGGGCTGAGTGGTGATGCTGGTCTTACTGTGGTACTATAAAGATGGTGAGCTGGGTAGGTGAGTTCGAAGTCCTCCAGATGTCCGGGAATGCGTCGCACCCTGCTGGGATGGGGACTCAGTGCTGGCTGGTCATTGTTGAACTCTCTGGGTGTAGCCATAGCGCAGCTAGTATAATTCGGCTCGAAGGACCACTTGTAGAATATATATGTACTGGGAGTGCTGGGTATACAAGTCTGGCCTAAGTCTTCAGTCAGAAAGACTGCAGCAGTCCAGGAGTTTAGTTCACCATCTTTAATGAAGCTTCACAGAAGAACTGGTTACAGCAGGGCTTGCCAGGATAAATCCAACTTTGATACAGCCAGATATGCACTTATAATTGTGGCAGATGCAGTATCGGTGACTATAAGCATGGTTGTCTGGAAACAGAAACAGGTAATACTATAATTAGCAGGGTCAAAGATAACTAAGAAACAATCGGAACACATCATCTACTTTGACACAGCAATATTTTCCAATGTCCACAAGGGGTCGCCGTAAGACCAGAAGTTGGCTAAATAGCACATATCTTCCCAGTTGCTAGCACTAAGGCAAGCATGTGGCAAGCTAACAACAGTTAAACTAAACAATAAACAACAGAAAAATTCTTTAACTGTGGGATGTAATCATTGGAGGAGATTCTGGCCACTGGTATTAACTTAGTGCGAATTAATTAAATAATTAACCCTTGTGTGGTGTTCGTATTTTTGTTACTCAGCCAGTGGTCATGGGTCTGGTGGACCCGCTAGAGTTTTGGCTTTCCAAATTAACACTATCAAACAATTTTATGTTAAATTACTCAACAGATGTTTACTTCATCCCAATTACAAGCCATATGAACAGCAAACATGATTATTTTTTTCCCTTTACCTTTGTTAGATCA